CTCTTTCAAAGATTGTTTGGAAGCAAGTTGGTGGCAGTTATGACTCCTAAAACCGCCAGCAGTTGGCAAGAGTCGAAAACTGAAAGCTTACTTTCTCATGTTTATAAGCTATTCACAAGATAAACCAACAGAATGTACCATCGCCATTAATCAACAAATTTGCATTGCCAAATTAGAAGTATGTGATGTTTAGTAGTGTTTCAAAATATAATAATTCTATCGATTTTCAATTTTCAACATATTAATGCTGGTGCCTGCTGCCAGATACGATTGAATAACTTTCAGTTGTACAGCTGATAACTTTTTTGGTTGCTTTAAGACCAGTTTTGCAGAGCCGACCGGTCAACTTGCTGGCAGTCGTAACGTTCTTTTCAATGACTCTTCGGACAAATGTACTTGGCAAGGATTTAGCGCTTTTGAGATGCCACCAGTATATTTTGAGCTTCACTACCTATGTAAACTCCGTCCCTCAAACGTTCTTCGGCAAACCTCCCCTGAGCCGCTCCCGAGTCAATCACATGACGAATGTTCTCGGCGAAACTCGATCATCAGCAAGAAGGTCATCGGCGCCCAATGCTGCAGCAGCTGACTCGCTGTTTCCCCCTTTATTACGAAACTCGGCCACAACGGAAAAGAAACTTTATTCCATAGAAATGTAACACACAGTAGGCGACACGGGTGGACGACGTAGATGGACTCCATCGTCGACTCGTCTCATCTGTGCTTCTTGACCAGCAGAGAAGTGCACGCTTCATGCTTATTTAAATTATCTCAAGGATTTTGCTCATTTATAAATCGTTCACGAGAAACTGACATCGAGACAAAAGATATTTCTCAACAGCAACACAAGTGCGCGTCTGAGCCAAACAAAGACGAAATTAAGAAGAAGCCGTGCCAGTGGATATTCATCCAGTGGGTTGGGGATGGAACTGCAGCTAAAGCAAAATTTCACAAAATTTGGGCATAGATGTAAACAAGAAACGAAACCAAATGGATGCACCAGGCGGACTTGGGCCTAGGCCTGCTGGCTTGGGCATATCACTTTAAAAACAAGTGGAAATGGCACTTCCAGAAACTGCCCAAAAATCCGATGAAACAAAGATCAATGCTGAAAAGTACAATGAAACATTTTTCATCATCGGTCAATCCCTTAAAAATTCTCAGTTCCCAAAGGTCATTTCCATCATTCACACGGCGCGAGCATATGGCTTTTGATGTCATTGTGAAGCAGGAGCAGGAGCAGGAGCAGGAGCAGGAGCAGGAGCAGGAGCAGCAGCAGCAGCAGAATCAGTAACAATTTGATTATATTTCGTCTCGGAGCATAGATGAATTAGTGGACAGAGATGGTGTGCATCACCGTCCACTA